AGTAAGGGAATCTATGAGTTTTATAGAGCTACTGAGGTGGAGTCCAAATTAACATAAAGAGACATAATAAAAATGACAAACATGTACAAGTTACAGTCAGGGCATGGTAGTATCAGCAGTCACAACTGGCTTTCCATCGTTTAACGCCTCAATCTGCTATTTGCGCACAGCACAAAGTTGCTTCACGTGAGAGAAAGGGGGTTAAAAGCTGAGCAGCAGCAGCTAGAGGCTGCACAGTTTTTTTCGTGCAAAAATGGCGGGGAGGTGCAGCAGAACTGGCTGCAGATTTTGTTGTGTGTATAGAAGGAGGGGGGGGGGGGCTTGACACAGTATTTGTAATACCTGGAATACACAAATGTATGATACTACACCTGCACACAATTGCAAGGCAACAAATAATGAAGGCGCCGAGTCTACGAAATGTAATTACACAAATAAAAACATGAGAAACGCAGAACATTAAGTGGAACAAAAACAGCACGTGTCTGAGTCAATGTTTGTGTAAATTAGCTAATTGACTTTACACGGTTAGATACCACCATAACATGAAAAAAATGCTCAAGCTTTTTACAGTGTAGTTTTTCTTCATGTCCTGGAAAACCTTTTTTTTTTTTTAATGGAAGCCATTACCGTTTCAATTTCCTTACATTTATAAAGTTAGTTTATAAACGCTTAATAAAAGCCAGAATAAACGGTGAACAACGAGTATTAACGCTCCCAAAGCGTCTTTGGGCGCTCATTGACTGAAGTAGATACTGAAATGAGAGAAACTGTTCTCACCGTCAAGTGCAGCTCGACTTGAAAAACAACGAACCTTCTTTTTCACCTCTTGTGCTGTCTCTATTCAAACCGCCAACTTCTGCACCTTCGCGCACAAAGCATCTACAACGTCACTGCGGTAGACGTGATCTCATTGGTCGAAACCAGCCAATCACCGAAGCTTTTACAAATCGGAGCGCGCCAGTAGGAAGTAGTGCTGCATAAAACGGTTTATCCATGTTTTCCTCAGTTGGAGCAATTTAATATATTAAATTAACAAATCTTTATGAAGTTAAGTACGTCTTTATTTTATATATTTCCATACAGTGGTCCAAATGAAATTGCTACTTTGATGTAGCTTCTAGATTTTACATAAGAGGTAATTTATGTGTAAAAAAAACACATAAATTGTTATGTTATTATGTAACATAACAATGTTATGTAAAGTTATGTAACTTTTTTCATGGAGTCTGCCTGTTTTTACCATTAAGGTGTGCTTTTCTACAGGTATTTTAGCACCCACTCATGGTTTAAAGCATGCATCTAGGATTAATTGGTATATCTAAAATATCTTATATGTAACTGAGTAAAAAAGTTGTTTGCCCTGTGTCTCTTTGTTTAAATCTACATCCTGATGATATACAGCATTTGTTCTTTGTTTTTTTACTGTGTATGTGTGTTTGTATCCAGGTTTGTCTAAATGTTTGTCTAAATGTATTTGAATTGTGGATTTTGTTTCTCTAAATCACACTGTTGACAGTATGCAGTGATGCAAATAAATCATGGCCCATTTTGTAAAAACATGTAGCTGCCTGGAGTAATTCTGTAGGGATGTTTTAATGCTTTAAGTGGGATGATACACTTCATTTAGATATACTGGCTTCCCGGACAATTTTTCTTCTTACTCCAAATGCACATTATTTCAATGGAGTCCATTTTCTTCAACATATATTTTTTAATCTAAATTTTATTTAATTTTTCTTTAATATAACCATTTCATGGGAGAAAAATATTAGAATATCACCAGCCACAATTCTACCTCACCAAATCCCAGCAAAAAAAAAAAAAAACAATTATCAAAAATATATTTTTTGCTTAATATATGTTTAGCTACAGTAAAAAGAAAAAAAAAGGGGGTTTATCCCTGAAACAAAATGGTTAATCAAAGTGTGACGATGTGAGAGTGAAACTGGACTGTTTCCACAAACAGAGAAGCCAGCATTAGCTGCTGACAGCTGAGTTATCTGCTACTGTCAAAAGAAAGGTGATTACAGAGGACTTGCAGTCATGTATGGAATAGCCCAAGAACTATGAAGTGGTTGTGCAGTGCACTATTTTTACATTAGATTTTGTAATGGCAGTTTAAAATCACCTTGAAAGGCATATAAGTGAACAAATCACCACAGGCTTATAATAACTTTCTGTAGAGTTTACATTTACTTTGTGTTTCCTTGAATTTCCCCTTTGATGTACTGATGACCTATCTAGGTTGTCCCCTGCTGTGCTCTGTTCACAGCTGTGACAGGCTTCAGTACCCCTGCAACTCCAACTGCTCAAAGAGGCCCCAAAAAATTAATAAGAGAGTAAGAGTCAAATCTCTGTGGTTAGGAAATGTTAGAAAATCAACTAGATTTTAGGGATTCTGCCAGTACCTGACAGGCGTTCCTTTGTTAGCAGCTTTGAACAACAGACTCAGAGCTCCTGGGAAGTTTAGAAGAAAGGACAGATGGCAAGTTTCAGACTTGTGTTGCCCATCTGTCTGTGGACATAAGGACAATAAAAGGGCTCTTCTCAGTTTTACTTTGGCAAAGGCTGACACACGCACAGAATCTTTAAATTTAGACTACATATGCAATTCCATATTTTTTTTCACAATTTGCTTAATTTAGATATGCTTTATTGAGATTCTATAGTTCTATAGTTAGTTGAAGCAGGAGTGATAGCTCTGGAGAAGCTGCTGTCATGTTGGTTTGTAGTTTTATGACCCGCATGCAGAATCACACAGAGAACCAGTAATTTTTTTTTACCAAAGCAACAAGAATCTGGAGGCTTGGAGAATTGCAGGAAGAGTCAGATAAACTTTCTGGTTGGTATGAGGGGAGAGAGTAGACTCATCAGGAAGGAGTTGCTTGATAACTGATTGGTTTAGATGAAGGGGAAGTAGCATGGATGTGTATGGTTTTGATTCAGCATGCTTTGCAGGCTGTACCTCAGAAGAAAATGTGAGTGAGATTGGAGTGTTGGTACATGCAAGAGACGTCATGCAGGACTTTTTCATCAGAGACAAACTGAGGTTCACTGATTGTCTGGAACCATAACAGAGTCCACATTAAAGAGATTCCCAAGAACACAAATTTCAACTTTCTTATTTTCGTGTCTCTTTGGCTGGAATACCACCAGGGATAATCATCCAGTGAAGAGAGATGATCCTTCCCCCCTTATATACAAGCTAGTCACCTTGAATGAGAAATGTTCTCAGGTGTGCAGCAACATGGGTCGGCCCAGCCACCAGCAAAGATGTTTTTCTTTTTTTGTTTTTTGTTTTTTACTAAATCTGGTGTAACTTTTGAGCATAATGCACCTTTTTTTTTTTTAATCATAGATGTATCCTAAAGCTTTACATTTCTTGTTCTGTGAGATCAGAGGCTGTTTTAAAAAAAATCAGGGCTTATGAGGTGCCTGAAAGAGGGTGTCTTTGTTTTGCAAGGAAGCTTCTCAGAGTTTATGGGAAGATGGATGAAACAAAACACATACAAAAGTGAGAAAACAAGACACCCCGTTACAGGCCACAATTTACTCAGCCCTTTTCAGTCTGAGATGTTAGTTTACTTTCCAGCAGGACAATGAAAAATGGAGCCTAGGCGGAAGTTCAACTGAAGAAACTGATTGCTCTCCTACATCCACCTGCGACACAGCCAATCAGCTTTGAACCACACCTCCAAGAAAGCCAATCGGCATCAAAAGTTCATCTTAAAAGGCCTCCGATCCGCACTTTTCTGCTCCTGTGCGCAGGCGGCGGATGCGCTGTGTGACTTCATTCAGATGACTTCGTTTCAACCCACCTCCAGCCCCTCCTCCACCATCGTAGCTAAAGCTTCTTCAGAGTGTCATTCCTCCCGGACTCTTTCTGCGTTCCCTGTCTCATCTCAACGGCAGAAGACCGCCATGTTGAGCCTGGTTCTGCCAGAGGTTTCTTTCCAACGGGGAGTTTTTTCTCTCCACTGTCGCTTTATGCTTGCTCATCATGGACAGGTTCTCTCAACCTGTGTTATCCAACTGGACTTCTATCTTCCAGGTCCCTGAGTGAAGCTCTTGTATCAGCTCACGCAATCCACTGGATCTCCCCATAAAGCTCAGCATACCGTCTCGCTAACCAGCAGTCTACAGACTGACCAACTTCCTCTATCTCCACTCCACCACTAGTTTCAGGCCTGGGGGAAAACAGCCCTATACTTTGCTCCTGTTCATCCATATCTATCAAAATTCAGCGCTATGTTTCCTGCCAAGGTCTGTGCACCAAAGACAAAATAAAATTGTGTCAATAAATTTCTTCTAATTGTCTTTTCTCTTCGTGTGAGTTTCTAAGATGGAACTAACATAAAGCCAGAGCCTCTATGGACTGGTGTAGTTTACAGCATAATCACATTTTAGAAAAGCTTAAGGCCTCATTTCAATGATCAAATGTGTCAGGACTTGAAATGATATGTTCACAGAATCTTCAATCTTATGTGAAAGAAAAATGCTGGCTTTAGATGTCGAGTCCTGATAAAAAGAAATACACAAAAATGCATGCAGCTTTAATTAAACAAAAATTTCCAACAGTTTAAAGATAGAAAATTATTTTATTAAACTATTTACTAATCAGTTTTGATTAATTATTACTATTTTGCTATTAATTTGAGTTTAATTAGAGTGTGTTTAAATTAAATTCGTTTGAGAGCAACAGCTCTATAGAAGTGCAGGATTGTTGGATTTTGATCTGGAGTCTCTTAAAACTTTTCTTTGAAATGCAAAACACTCCTGGTCATTCTCGCATTTAGGAATGGAGTCTAAAAGGAAAATTGGGAACAGAAGAAAGTATAGAGAACATTTGTTCAGTAAGGGAAGCATTGTTTATTTTTCTTCGTAATAAAAAATAAAAATAACAATGTAGGGGGATATGAGTCTGTTACTACACACTCGTGTACAGTAGGTGGCGCTATGCACCTTACCATGCGATCCGCCATAAAACAAAAGAAGAAGAAGTTTTCTCGCATTAGTCCAAGGAAGGCTGAGGAAGAAGCGACACAACCCCATCCTTTCGGCTGTTTAATGTGGAAAAATGGGGGCCTGTATGGCTTTGTGCTCCTTGGCCAGCTGCGTGAGTCTCTGCTTATAGATATTTATTTGTTTATCTCAAATTTCAAATAAGAATATTTTATTCTCAGCGGTCGACAGAAACTGATGCTAACGTTACCTGTTGGTTCTATCTGACAGCTATGGCTAACGTTAACCTGACACAGAAACTAGTTATTTAACAGGTTAAATCATATCTTAGTTCGACTTTACAGCTCGAATACATTGAAACAGATGCTGTTTGGCAAGGTAATGTCAGCATTTATTAATAAAGACCGAGGAAGTGTCCGAACTGAGCGGACATAGTTACCTGAACGTTACCTCATACTTAATTTTATTTTACACATTGAAATAGATCAAGTTTTACCCGCTTTAATGAAAATATTTCTCTAAAGAAAGAGCAGCAACCGACGGTATTAGTCAGTTCTATCAAGTTCGACAAGAAAGTAGGTAATAATCTGATAGCTTTCTTTAGATTTAATTAACTTTGACAAAAAGGATTAGTACAATGTATGTTTATTTGAAAAAGCTATTCTAATTTGTTTCTAACATTTTTTTTATGTTATGTGTTTTTTATGGGATCTTATGCAGTGGAAAATGACAGTCTGGTTTAATTATTTACTGGAAAAGTATTTCCAAATAGAACTTGTTTATGGTACCACTTGGCCTATTTAAGCAGCATGCACCTGCTGTTGACTGATTCTTATTTTATTATAACCGTCCATCATTCTCTGTATTTATCCCCAGGCCTCCTGTCTGTGTGGCTCAGCGCCATGCCTGCTGTGTGGTTGCTGTCCGTCCTCCAATAGCTCCACCATCACCCGTCTGGTTTTCTCTTTCTTTCTGCTTCTGGGAACTATGGTATCAGTCATCATGATCCTGCCTGGAATGGAAACACAACTCCGCAAAGTGAGCTCCTCCTATCGCCACCATGTTCTAATAATTAGTAATTTACTTCACAATGTTGATTACACAACTTCCTAAAATGCATCATGATTCAAATCTGCTTTGGATTTTTGGTGACATGCTGTATTCTGTTTAAATGGGAGTCCTAATTGCCAAATGATTGGAAGCTGAGCTTATCATATACCATATTCGTCACGTTGCAAACTTTAATGGACTTTATCTGGGAATTTTGTGATAGACGGATAAAATACTGCAGAGCTGTGAAGTGGAAGGAAAAGTCTTTTCTTATTCATGATGGCTCTTTTTTTTTTAATTTAAGCCTTATTTAACCAGGAAGTCCCTTGAGATTGAAATCTCTTTCTGTTCTCTCTCTTGCTGTATGTTCTATCATATCGCCTGGCAGAAGGTGGTCTCTTTGAGCTTTAGAGGTCCCTGTCCCAAGCCATTCCTGCACTTAGCCATTTAGGGTCGAAGGGGCTAATAATTCCACAGAACTCTAATCTAGAACCACTTGTAATTCTGGGGAAAGTAGGCAGAAGAAAAGAAACCTAACACAGCCAAACTAAGCATGATTGGTAGTAAGGCTCAACATTTTTAAAGACTACATTTAAAAGGTGTAAGAGTTAGAGTTTAAATTCAGGCTTTTTTCTACTCTGGTCCTGATTTCAAAAGAGTAAATAAAACACTAATCAAATATTATCAATATTTACTGAATATGGTGTGTAACATTGGCTGGGCTGAAAATGGTATATTTGCTGTTCTATGAGCCCTAATGCAGGCCTGGTTAAAAGCCCTAGAACAGAGGTCTTCAACAGGGGGTCCATGGAGGTACAGCATGGGGGTCGCAAAAAATTTGATTGATTAGACTTTTTTTTTTTTTTATATTCCCCCTGCAATTTTTTCCCCTGAGACGTCTTTAAATCCACATTAACATGAATTCAACACAGTGTAGTAAACAGATAAGTGGAGACAGAAGATGTCTTTCAGTCATCAATGCACACATTCAGCGACACACGGGAGCTCTTTCAAGCTGGGCACCGTTTCATTCACAGTACCTGTCCCATGTACGGAATATCAGGATAAGAAATACTTTAATAATCCCAGGGTGAAATTACTTTCATTACATGACACCATCTGTAATAGAGTGACTATAGGACTAGTTTGACATAACACTATTTCATACAAGATATATATAATTAGGGGTCACCGCTCCATCTCGCCATCAGTTTAGGGGTCCTTGGCCTGGACAATGTTGAAGACCCCTGCCCTAGAATGAAACAACAGGTTTTCTTCCTTTTCTGGTATGTGCATGAATATTTAGATGAGCTGTGTGCTGATTGGTTGGTTTAAACAAGTAAAGCTGCAAAGACTCATCATAGCAACAAGCACTCATTGAAATGGTAGGCTGAGCAGATGTCCTCTTTTCATACCTAAAAAAATTGTAAAATTTTTTGGTCGACTACAGTGCAGCATATAGTCAAAACACCCCAGGCACTCAAACCCAGCCATAAGCTGCTGGGCTGGTCCGGGAACTCCGGCAGACGGGGGCAGGGAGCCAGTGGGGGACGAAGCGACAGAACCCGACCCGGTGAGCCTGGAGCAGCCCAGTACTCCCCCCCCTACCCACCCCCCACCCCTATAAGGGGAAGGAAGGATTTTGCATGAGCTGTATTTAATTTAAAGAGCAGGGTTACTGGTGTTTTTTTGTGCACTAGTATGGGCTTATATTTTTCCCAAATTTTTTTTTTCTTTTTGTAGATCCCAGGATTTTGCCAGGGAGGAACGACCGTATTTGGTATTGAAAATCAGGTCAAGTGTGATGTCATCGTGGGCTACAAATCTGTGTATCGCATGTGCTTCGCCATGGCCTGCTTCTTCTTTCTGTTTTCGATGATAATGATTCGTGTCCGAAACAGCCGAGACCCACGAGCCGCGATTCAAAATGGGTAAGAGAAAACGCTGGAGGAGATAACACATCAGTGCTATAATACTTTGGTGTGCTCATTGTCCAGTTATGAATGTGAATTCATTATTTTCCAGTTTCTGGTTCTTTAAATTCCTCATCCTGGTTGGGATCACGGTCGGAGCATTTTTCATCCCAGATGGAACCTTTCATACCGGTACCAACACTTTCTGTGTTTGAATTTCTACACACATTGTTTAAGATGTGTGTTAAGATGTCTGAATGATAAACGTATGTTTTCTTTGACAGTGTGGTTTTACTTCGGAGTCACCGGGTCCTTCATCTTTATTTTGATTCAGCTTATTCTCCTGATAGACTTCGCCCATTCCTGGAATAAGATCTGGGTTGGAAATGCCGAAGAAACTCAGAACAAATGCTGGTTTGCAGGTAAAGTTTTGAAACGATGCATTAAACAAATCCTCGACTCTAAGCTTCACATTTGGTTATGGGTTGTTATCAAAATCTTCTGTCCCATTTGTTAGGGGTTCTTACCTGAGAAACAGAAAACAAAGGGGGGGGTATGTTGCAGAGTTCTGAAGTATATTGTATAGATTAAAACGACAGAGGTTAAAATAAAAAGAAATACATGCATAATATGAGCAGAGTGACAGTTGCATATCAACTTTGAAGAAGACTTTGAATGGTATTAATGATAATAAAGCAAAAAAATTAGGGTAAGTACAGAAAGAACTTTATTTAAACACAAAAGGAAAACTCCAGTCTCTATGAGGAAGTTGTTGGAGGAGGCTTCAATGTGTCTGCTGCAGGTTTTGTCCTTTAAACTCTGAAAACAAGAACATTAAGTAATTTTGACCAAATCTACTATTACGACAACAACTGATTTTTTTTTTAATTTTTGGATTCATTGGTGTATTTTTCTTTTAATACAGAAGATCTGTTCTTTCAAATTTTTTTTTGTCTTCTTTTGCTGCTCAATTTGATTTCCGTCTCAGAAAGAAGTATGCAGATTATCCACTGTGGCTTTAAGTAGTTTGCATAGATGCATAAAATACCAGTAGGGTTTTTGAGTAAAAAAATAAATAAAAAATTGACGATAATGAATAATTCAAAGCTTTTTCCAATTTTAATTTCTTATTGTAAAATTAAGCTGAAAAAAGTGAACTTAAAATAAAACAAACATGAATGAATAATAAATAAAGAATAAGACATGTAGCATAAGTTTCCACAACCTTGAACTAAATCTTTGTTAAGTGAGTTTCATCATTCAATCTTGCTTTGTGAGACTCTACCAGCATCCAATATCTAGACAAGCTACTTTCAGATCCTTTCAAAGTTTTTTTTCTAAATCTATCAGACTGTGATCAAACCTCTAGCTCACTACTCTGTCAAAGTGACTTCTTATTTTATTTTAGTTGTTCTGGTTTGTTTTGTCTCTGTGCTCTGGATAAGCCATTAAAAGAATGAATCCTTCCTTTTTTGAAGTCATTTTTAACTGATTTGGATGAATGCTTAGACCTGATGTAATGCTAGAAAAAAGAAAGCCCTCTACATCTTGATTTTTCTTCCATAACCTAGAATCTTTTGCTCTTACACTGGCTGGTATTTGTAACAATGTGTATTTTATTGCTCTTGGCAAAAAACTTCATTCCTAACTAAAGAAAAAGTGTTAGGTGTGTATGTTCCCCCAGAGGAGTGTAAACGTGTCTTTAAACTCTCCTCCTTAAGGCCAGAACACACCCAATCCGATTTTGCGTCCGATCTAAAAGAAAATCGTGTTGGACGAGGTCATAGTGTTTAGCGCTCATTGAAAGTCAGTGCAGATGATCAGACCTGACACAGTTTTATGCAAGGGGACTCCCACCGAGAGAGACCCCAGTTCGATTTTAGTCAAACTATGCAGCAATTCAGCTGCAATTTCATGGGTCTGACTGGAAAAGAGACGCCATTACAAAGTAAAACACATCCGCTTTGTGGGAATTAAAAAATAAAATCTGTAAATCGCACGGGAAAACAGTCAGTTTTGGAGTCACGCATTGCCTACAGTATATAGTAAGCGGGACAGACTTGTGCAAAAACAATCAATGAAACATTAAAAAAAGAATACTCATGATGGGGATTCAGGAGAACTGAAAAACTGAAAAAGTAGTGATCCCTTGTCAGGTTTGTAAAAACAACAGACAGAAAGTTCAGTTTGTTATTCTCGGAAAAAAGTAACTTCAGGAGGACAAAATACTCCTATGAGCCTCACAGAAAACGAAATTACGAGGGACAGACGGTGCAGCTAAGAGCAGCATATCTCTCACCTCTTCATGGAACAAAAAAACTTCCCAGGTCTCTCTCTGAGAGACCTCAATCAGCATATAAACCATCCCACAACTGTTATTGCTGTGTTTTTCTTTTCTGTGTTTAATGTAGGCATATGAACATACTCTATATGTTCAGGTTTGAGATGCTGCACAGACTCCTTAAGTCATAAAATAGTGTTTTTTTTTTTTTTTTTCATAATCTGTCCAAGTAAAATGTGGGAAATTGTTTTCATTTATGTTGCACAGAGACAGAACTGAAAAAATTATGTACAGATCTGCCCACCCTGTCTAGTCGATGCCTCTCTATACGCTGTGGGAAAAAAATCAGATCGGGGATTAAAAAGTCGTTCGGTGTGTTCAGGCATTTATTTCTGTCGTGTGGAGAATACAGGAGAAAAATGCAAACCGTAGAAACTCTGACTGTCCTACAGGCTCTTCAGTGTGGCTGTAGGTATCTCTGCAGCCTCGCTGAATATTTCAGGGTTGTCCTTTTATGGTCCCACATTTATAACAGCTGTTGGTGACCCGGCTGCCATTGGTCATGTAAAATCCTGTGGAAATGTTTGCACCCTTCCTCTGACTGATCCTTTTGTACCAAAAGATCCCTTTTTTAACCTCTATGCAAACTGTTGCTTTGGAAAAACTATGCAAATGTCCAGTAATTCTAGCTGGTGTCTAAATAAAACCGTTGGCATGTGTGAACCAGAGGCAACTTTATTTGACTTGTTTACGTCTCACTGTGTTTATTTCAGGGCTCCTGACTTTTACGTTGATCAACTATGCACTGGCTTTCTCCGCTGTGGTGCTTTTCTACATTTACTACACACAGCCAGATGATTGCACTGAGCACAAAGCCTTCATCAGCCTCAACCTCATCTTCTGCATCATCATTTCTGTTGTGTCCATCCTACCAAAGATACAGGTATAGTAGCTGCTTGTTTATTAGACCTCAGGAAGGGACTTTAAATCTTCTGTCTTTGTGAATTAGCTTGTGTTTTTAAATGGTGTCTGCAGCTTTGATACCTCTGAGACAAAAATGGGTTTTTGCCTCTAAACTTTTATTTCAAAGCAAATAAATCCTACCAGTTTCCAGTTAAAATAATTTGGTCATTTTAATGTTTGTGCATTTTGTTAGTCTTTTCTTTTTTGTCTTCTTCGTTACAGAAAGCTCAGCCACACTCTGGTCTCCTCCAGGCATCACTCATTTCCCTTTATACCATGTATGTGACTTGGTCTGCAATGACCAACAATCCAAGTGAGTAGTCAGAAGTCTCAATCCCTCAGATTTTTATTTACACCGATTCTCATGCTTATGGTTTCCTACATGTGCTTGTCAATGTGCTGCAGCTTTTTGCTTAAAAAGGTGAGTTTTATTGTAGCATAATGTCTTATTGGTAAAGAGTTGTAGCTAATTTTAGTATCCATACCATTTTATATACATTGTGTGATCTAGAGTTCCTTAGTGAAAAAAAGAACTCTAGATATGATAAACTTAACATTTAGTTCTCTGCATCCTCTTCAAACCTCCTGAAGGATTTTTGTTTTAGTGCCATTTGCATGTTAGACATGTGAATAATATAAATATGTATTTTTAGTTTTCTGTTTTCTTTAATTATGTCCTTTACTTATACTGTCCTGAGATATATGTACTGTCAACATCTGTTTATCATTCTTATAAATCGCTGTATTTTTATTATGTTTAAAACATAG